TCTCTCCTTCTCTCGCCGTACATCTTCCTCGAGGCTTGTCCCGTTAACGATACCGGCTCGGTGAGCCGGGCAGGAGGATGAGGAAGAAGACGAGGCAGAAGAACGGGTAAAAGGAATCGGTGCCTTGAAGGGAGACAAGGAAAAGGGAATCGGGCACTGGAAAGAAGACGAGACGAGCTAGCTAGCTAGCGAACCGATGCGGTGTCGGGTACACGTCGTTCACCCCCGGAGGGTAGCTTCAAACGAAAACTCCGACGCGTCCGACGAGTTTGTATCGAGCGTAGGAGGTAAAAGCGCGAGAGGTTGCCGCGGAGGATCGAACAGCGAGAGAAACGGAGCGGTACAGCGCGAGGGATGGGTGCAGGGAGAAGCGAGGGTAGGAAGAGGCGTACATGGGAGGGGGGGGGGGTGGTGGTGGAGGAGGAATAGGAGGAGTTAGTCAACGACGAGGAGGAAGAGAACACGAAAGAGAGTCGGGTTCCGCGAAGGCGAAAAGGGACAGAGCGAGGTGAACAGGGACAGAGATCGAGTGAGATTCTCTCTCCTCGTAGCGGAGCGCGATGCTGGTGCTGCTGCTGCTTGCTGCAGAACGAGCCTGGGACGAGGGAAACGAGGGACTGCCGAAGGGAGGGGAAACTGCCGCAGACCGAGGCCATGGTAGGCGAGGTGAGGTGGCAATCAATAAATATACAGAGAACCGGCAGCAGCGAGATAGAAAGAGAGGGAACAGCGAGAGATCGAGCAAAGAGAAAAAGAGAGGGGCAAAACGTGGGGGGGGGGGGAGAGAGGGGGGAGAGAAGCGCTCGTCGCGTCTGTCCGACCGTCGGGTCCGTTCTTGCGTTCCCAAAGCCTCCGCGAATCTAACCAACGGATAGAGAGAGATAGAGAGGGAAAGCAGGACACGGAGATACTATGAACAGAGCCGAAGAGAGGGAGAGAGAGGGAGAAGAGGACGCAGTGGAGAAGGCTCTGAAGAGGCTTTGCTTGAAAAGACAGGAGCAACGAGGAGACCAGGCAGGGTAGAGAAGGGTAGAGGGTCCAGAAAACGCAAGGAAGGAACACCGAGGAGGTCAGAGGTGAGCCAACGAAATAAACGAAAAACTCTATCCGGGCGCGAGAGATGCTGGATCCCGAGGAACGTGTTTCGCTCTGCGAGGGGGACCAGTCTCTTCTAACCCTGGACGATCCTTTCTCTCTCACCTTTCCCTGGATTCCGCGGTATCTATACTTTCGATAGAGTTCTCGGCTATGCCCCCCCCCCTTTTTTTTTTTTTTTGGTGAAATATAATTAGAGGAAGACTGAGATGCGACCCAGGTATTATCGGAATCCGTGGAGGAACGGTCCAAGGAACCGTTCGGAGAAACACCAGAGGGTGCCCGGAGATGTCTGTAATTCGGGTTACCACGCTGATAGGTAATTAACGTATCGACCGATGGATGCACTGGAACGATTTGATTCGAACTACTGGACCGTGGAGGGAAATCTAGTCGTTCGGTATTGATTGGTATACGTTCGACGGCTTGCTCTCCGTTACGGGGGCGATTACTGCGACTTCCGGTTGTTACAGTACTTTCCACAGGAATGGAAAGGTACAAGGTGCCTCTTGGAAGATGTACTTCATCATTGGATGTTAATATCTTGGATTTGTTTCGTTGTTCCTACCCTCAGTCCCTTATTCTTGCTCCTAGTCTTTAAGAACCCAACCAAATTCTAAACAATGTTAGTCCTTAACCCTGATGTTATTAACATTAACATCATTCTATTACTCGACTGCAATTTCGTTCATTCCTTAATTTGTCATTTCATTTAAACGGGTCTACTGTAAGAGGGATCAATGCCACAAAATATGAGAAAAAAATGAGATTTTTCTTAATTCTAGCATTTCTTGGTATCTAGTTATTGTCCCTTAATTTATAACTACATGGTAGAATAACAAAAAAAAAAAAAGCAAAGAAAGGAAGTGGTGTTCACGAAACATCGTCCTGAGGGAAGAATTCTGATCGTAATTCCAAGCGTGAGCGAGCGAACGCGCGAACGATGCGGTTTCGAGACGACGCCGGTTAAATACCGTTAATGAAGACGGCGGCGCGGCTGCGACGGTGGCATTAACTTTAATTAGTTAATAGCGCCTGGGTCGGACGGAAGTTATCGAGGTTCGGCGGGTTCTCGAGGAACCGTACCGGTTATTAAATCGCTTAAAGTAAATACTCAGATGAGACTCGGTTCGGGAGGCTCGAGTGTCGCGTGCGAGAGTGCCACCACGGCCGTGTCCTCGGCGTGATAGAAAGAGAGAGAATGAAAAAAGAAAGATGAAAGACAAGGAGAACAAGCGTCAGAAGGATCCTCGAATCACTGGAGGAAAAGGCTAACCGACTAAGGGAGCCCGATTGCGAACGTGCAAGTAGCGCTAATTAAAGTAAGTGGCCGAACAGTGCTCTTCGCCGGCCTCCGGGAACACGTATATAATGTGAGCGTGACAGTTTCGGCTTCTCTGAGAGAAAAAAGAAACAGCGCTAAAAAGAGTACTAGAGGTGACTACAAGACACCAAACGAAAAGCCGAATCTTTCAAGGGAGACAGTACTCGTTTTATATCGATGACTAGAGTACTCGGGTATTTATAATTCCATTTTTATGGAATATTTGAGAAGAATGTCTCAGAGTTCTTTAATTAAGGAGTATTGCTGAATTAGAAACAGAATACAAACATTGTTAATCGTTATTACAGCTATAGTTTCGTTGACTTCCAATTTGTAGTTTATCAATGATCGGTTCAGAGCATAGAAGGAATCAATTTGTTATCAGAGAATGTTACACCGAAGTTAGGGTTCGTTCCGTAATAACTTTTCCGTCGAGTTCAACGATCCGTGTGTTCAAGGGCATTCAAGGTCACGAGTGCGTAACTAAGTGATCTTGAGCGTGCACACGTTGCATCCTCGGTTCTTGCAACAGATGCCCGAAAGGTTTGACCTTCGACTTGTTCGTATTATGCGTCCCCAAGGTCACTGTGTCACCGTGGAGTGACCCTGAACAGGAAGTAGAGCACTGTATACTCGAAACAAGGAAGCTGGAGACCTCGTTAATGTCCTAAAGTTTTAATAAATTTCTCTTCGTTGCGACGCGATTAATTCTTCGACAGAATTTTTAACAATCGTAGGTATCCTGCCTCTATATTATATCGTCGATCTCTGGTGCAATTTATGGAATCGATTAATCTCCCGATAAAGAAACGTATTTATTCGTCGTGAACGTATCCCGCCGATCACTAAGGGAATTTATACGTCTTCTTCCCTCCGCCTATTTTACGTCACTGGAAACAGTTTGATTAATGAAGCGCGAGGCTTTGGCGGCGGGTAAAAGGGATCGCGTCGATAATCTCATTCGATATCCAACGCTTTTGTGCATCGATCACCGTATTATTAATCGCCGCGATTCAATTCTCCCCCCACCCCTCCGATCCTATTCCTTCGAACTCACGGTCCGCGTCGCGATTCAGTCGCGAAACAATGAACTCGAATCGCATAGAACTTTATATATTTTATGATCAATTGAAAAGCATATAAATTCTACAAACACAGCAACAAGTGTCGAATAAAAGTATACTTTGCGTAGCTTCGTATCAGAGATAATCAATGTTGATAATTCATCAGTAGACAGTGGATACTTATGCATTTATAGATTTCTCGTGGAAAATAAATAATATCGTACACTTGTGAACAATGTATATAAATATTAACACAATCAGAAATCATGCAACTATCAAGTAAAACGGTACGAAGTACGAAAATTCTCAAATTCAATTCCCCCAATAGCGAAGCTGCACAAGGAAAAATTTTATGCTAGATTTTTCACGTGTTCCTGTATATGGTATTATCTTCCCTTCGATTGGACCATTCATTCTAAGCCACCCTATAGAATATAAAACCTACCCTCCATATACCCTTTACGATTTCCTTCTTTAACCCTCGCATGACGGGGCCGAGAAAGCCGGGTCACGACCCAAACTAGACATCATATACAGAGTGTCTCAGGTAGGGTAGTAGAACCGGGCAGGAGGTTATTCTACATGCAAAAACAAATCGAAAACATGGAATAAATTGTTTTCCTATAATTATTTGTTTTCGAGATAATCGAAATTGAAAATCTGCGGGAGACGCGAGCAGTTGAATGAGACTTGGTTAGCTCGTCTGATCATCACATTCCGTTTCTACTTACTGTCGCCATGAATATACGCGTACACGACGAAATTTCTAACCGATTTTTCTCGAAACGAAAGCCTCGTATAAAAAAATTTTATTCTTTTTTTTCGACTTATTTTTTCTCATGGTATTTTGTATTACTTGTGAAACTTTCACATTAATTTACAATGCGTGTAAAAAAGCAATGATTACGGAATTTTGCATTTTCATAAAAATTGATTTGTATTAATTCGTCAGATATAATACGTTCTCTTTCTACGAATTATCGCTGCATACCGAACGAGTGACTCGAGCCATCGTCATGCGAGCGTTATACAAGGTGTCTCGATTAAGTGCGAACCTCCGAAAATCTTTTTTAATTGTGAAAATTCAAAATATATTTTATACGTAATTTGAATGGTATTAAGTGGTCAGTATATTATATAAAAAACGTTTTCAACAAATTTACATTAAAAATAAGTAGTCACTTGAAAAAAAAACATCGATAACCTTGAAAACTTCTAGAAAAAAATAACATCTGCAGGATACTAATCATTTAATACCATTAAAATTACGTATAAAATATGTTTTGCGTTTTCACAGTTAACGAAGATATTCGAAGATATTCATAGTTACTTTCTTCCAAAATTATATTTACTCAAGATCTCTAATCTTGTTTATTTATTGATTTAATTTCTGTCTAGTATTCATGTTCATTGTTCATTTTGTGCGAAGACAGGTGAACATATTCAAAAGTAAAGACGTATAGAGCGTAATAGATTGAATAGAGTTTAAAAAAAAAAACAAACTAAAATCAGCTTACCACCGAAGAGCGCAGTCGGATCGAGCAACGGATTGGCCTGGTCCGCCTGGAGTTTCTCGGAGGCGGAGGTGGCGCCCGGAGTCGCCGTGGCCGCCGCTTCACCTCCGCCACCTCCGCCGCCTCCGCCCGATGCGGAGTTCTCCTTCTCCATGCCAGTCCCCTGAAAACGTGCATCAGCGTTTCGTTAAAGCCGTTAACTTTCTGCCACGCAGCGGCGGAAACGGTTTCGTTCCGTTTTAGATGGGTCGCTCTCGCGGAGGGTAATACGAGGGGTGGGTGGCTGTCGGGGGTAGCAGTCGTGGATCAACATTTTTGCCGGGAAAACTGACGTGAGGGGTGGTGGAACTAGATGGGGAAAACGGAAACGATACAGCTGACCGTTGTGAATTTTTTTTCTCGAAGGGGGTGCGGAGGATTTGGGGTGAGTTACGATTGCGGACATTAACCCTATTTAACGCAGCGTCACTCTGAGATTCTGTTAGTTTATTTATAGGTATTTTATACATTCCATCTCGTCTTTTGCATCCTTGTGTATAACGGAGGCTTCAAATAATTGGTAAACAGCAACATTTTCGTAAGCAGTATGTTATGAAGTTATGTAATCGTTAGTAATTGTTTCTCAAAGGTGAAAGAGAATCAGGTGACAGAGGGTTAATGAAAAATCGATTTGCTACGGCATGAACATAATTACATTAGTCTCCTGCGTTGACTGCGATCAATAATTACACCACTGACGACCATAAGCGTACCATTATACCATATGGTTTATCTGTAATTTTTTATGCTATTATTTGAAATATTCCATTTTCTCTGTTGCATAGGTAACTTAAGAAAAATAATAGTTTGACTTTATAAGGGTAAAATGTATCGTTATTACGTTCAGAAATAATCTATTTATAACTGTTTTATTGAAACACGGCGATATCTGCGCGAAAAGCTAAAACGCTCGGTCGTCAGTCGGTTAAAAAGTAATTTCTTTCACATATTAAGGAAGTTTCTGTCTTGGAAAAAAGGGTTGCGGGCGAAAAGGCCACTCAAAATTTATACCTAAAATAAGTAATTAAGAAAAATAATAATAATTAAGAATATATTTTGATCATCCTGAACGTCGTACATACGGTGACACTAGAATAAAGAAATTAAAATGATAAACCTTGAACTATTAAGTTCGCGGAACACGAAAACAAGGGTTATTTTTTTAAGGGAACTTCAGGGGCTGGGAATATCGGGGAGAGAATCGACCAAACATTTTTGCCAGGGAAACCGATGAGAACTCATGACAGGGAGAAACCCAGAGAAGACGAAATGCCGGAAATTGACCAGCGAGAAGTTTTTTTCTCAGAGGCAGCAACGATTGAAGAGTGGGTAGATCGGAGGGGTGAGTTATTTGTCGCGGATACAGTGATATATTTTCAGGATTCCAACGAGTTTTTAGTCGCTGCGCGTATATTTGTAACTATTTCCCAGATCACAGAAAAGAAACATTGAACACAGTGAATCGTGATTCTCCTAACCCCTAACGTGTTAGGGGATGACAGTTGAAACTACCTCTTCGAGGAGTCCTACCAGTGGTGAATTTATCACCCAAATGAACAGATTCACCGAAACTTACCGCCTGAATCTCCCCATAATCCGACCATACCATAAACCACGACAAACCGTAAACCCTTTTTAATTTTATCGCTCGTAAAAAAAAAAGTGATTTTAAACCACCAACACAGGATCCCCAGAGGACCCTGAACTTTCAACAAGAAGAATCTACACTACAAAAACAGAGGCAAAAAAACAACGGCACAGTTGTGGAAGTCAGCCTCGTGAATTTCTGTTCTTACGTAAAACAATTCTGTTAATTACCAGACTGCGGATCTTTATACATTTATAGTATCCTTTAACTTGGAAAGTGCTATAAAGTAAATGTTCCAAGTTGTTTCGTTTTAATTTTTTCTATCTGAAATTGTGGATTTCCATAAACTTCCGCATTCCAGTTATTATACACATCGTACCAGAAGAGAATGAAGATGAGAATATCGATTCTCCAGACGATACGGTGCGTCGAGTTTAGGGAAAACCATCATCGCCGTCTGTTGAAAGAGGGAGAAGTATTGTCTGCGGAACGTCTGGGATTCCGGTTAATTATGTTAATACGCCGACGCGTTGTCTCGAAACTCGCTACAGCTCTCCCTCCGTTTCCCGCCCCACCCCTCGACGATGCACGGCGGTAAATACATAGAAAGGGAAGAAGAGAGAGACAGTGGAAAGTAGAGGGAGGGGGCAGAAAAATCCACGTTAATATTTCAGTCACGCGCATACGTAAGGAACGTCGATGTCTCGCATGTTCATTCGATGACTGTTTACCAGCCGAAGAAAGGCTTCCACGGAGCGCTTTAAATAAAGGCCGTTCTCCCCTCCAAACGTTTTCCCCTCCAGCGCTTCGATCAGCTGACTGCCTCACGCATACACATGTATACATGTACCCCTACCGCCTCGCCAGCTGTGTTGTATAAATATACATGGTTGTAACGTTGAGTCAGGTTAAGCTGGTGCGCTAGACTAGACACCGTTCTCCACAGCCACTGGCACCGTTATTATCATACAACGGGCACGAGTGTGCTCGGGTGGCCTACGCTCGATCGTGTATACCAGACAGAGATTGACAAACTCATTATTATATAAATAAGGATTAAAAAAGTATTTCGTCATTTTTAATTGTTTAAACGTAGAAATACGTGCGACCTTACACTCCACGCTTTATACTTTAAAGTAATTTTTTAAGTCAATATTTCGTACTATACATACTGTATATTCTGCATTTCTCTCATGTACCAAAAGTGCCTCTCCTTAAACTAAATTTCCATTATTATTATTATAATTATTATTTGGGTGGCAGTGAAGGTGTTAATCAAACAAGCCCTCGTTCCAATCATAAACCTTCCATTCTAATCGCAACCAGAACGATGCACCCCCGTATCGCATCGGAACTCCAAGTATAAACGTAAACAGCTAACCTAACGAAACCATTCCCCATCGAGCCAACGAAATTTCCACACGAGCAATCCTACTCCCTCATCTCGAACCACCGAGAGAGGCCATTGTGTGTCCAGGAGAGTAGCTCCACTCGGGCCCCCGATACTTTCGAAATACCATTCGGCCGCAACGAGAGGCGGCGATCCCATCGACGAGGAAGGGGGAGGCGGGGGCAGCGCAGTCGCTAAAAATTTCGCCGCTCACAGTCGCAATGGCTCTTCCCTCCCCCCACTCCCCTTTCCGGATACTCGTTCCATACACGGAATACCAAAGTCCCCGGGTTGTACGAGCGTCGAATTCCCGGTAGCCGGAATATCGAGGGTCCGACCGGCCTCTTGCACACGGGTGGCGTTGGAGACGACGATCTCGCCTCTCCTCTCTTACCCCAGAAGAGGATTTCCAGCGGGGCTCGCGAGAGCAACTTTCGAGGTGCTCGTAAATTGCTGGTCCGAACAGAGACGACGAATAAGAAGGAAGAGACTGCATCTCTCGGTCAGCGAGAGAGAATCGACGACGCGGGGACTTTACGGGCTGCAACGAAAAAGGATCGAGAGAGGCAGAGGGCAAAAGGAGCGACCGTCAGAGGGGCGGTGAATTCTGCAAGACGGGAGGCAAAAGGTAGAAGAGGGACGGGCGCGGTGGCCGGAGGTGGCGGCCCCGACCATCGATTTCTCTCGACCGGTGTGTGTTACGCTCCTTCCGAACGGGAAAAACTTGCCCGCTCCGAGGATTCGCGGAGCACACCGGGATACTGAAAGAAAAATGGTGGCCGAGGAGATTACGCGGCTGGCAACTCGGACCGATATGTATTCGCGTGGCGTGCGTGCCCTGGGTCGAGCTATGTTACCGAGGGGAGGGACTTGAACTTGTTCTTGATAGGGGTTTCGAGGGTTTTAAGCGTAGCGACCATGCTGGGTCACTTTTGATCCTGGGGTTATTGGTAAAGTGGATTGCGTCGAATGTTTAACCTGCTAACTGCATTTGTTCACTATACCACGCGGTGGACAGCGAAATGTGATTAGCTTAGATTATTCTACCGTTAGCTGTTCGATCGAACATTTTTTTTTTATGTTTAACCATCAGTGCTAGATGTCAATAGAATTAACAGATGTTTGTCAACCCTTTAGGCGAGTGTATTGCAGATGATGGACACCATTTTGAACATTTTTAATTAAGGTGAATGATATTTTCTTAATGTTTCCTTGGTTTAGAAGAAGATATTATTTAAAATAAAGTTACAGAGAGTTAGGGAGACAAGTGAGACTTAATACTTCATCATTGCCAACAACTGTGGACACTTGTACATTATTTTAACGATAAATCTCGAATATAACGTGGCTGACAGTAGCGTAGCAAATCATGTCGCTTCTCACCGAATTCACGAGGCAATCCGTATATCTCTCGAAGTTTTCCACCACCCGAATCAGAAAAAGCATACATCACTTGGCAGGAAGCACGTTAAACGGGAGACCCGGTAACCTACATCTAGCCGGTTCCAAAACCCTCGGTTACCATTAACACACGGTTAAATCGAGTGTGCGCGCAACGCGTTCGCGTCTGCCAAACAACAATCGCATCGACGAAAAGATAATCCGAGCAAGGTTGACGCGTCCAGAAACGATGGGACTTAAAGTGGAATATCCTATAGATCATCCTAACATCATTTATTTAGCTTAAAGATTGTTAAAAGAAGCAAATATTGTTAAAAGAACAATTAAGTCATTAAGAAAAACTTTTTTAAAGTCACTACACTTTCTTTTATTGCTCATAAAAAATTCTGAAAGATGGGTATGAAAATGACTTGCCAATACACTCTTACAACGATGATTAAAATGTTATAACAAGACATTGTCTCAAATCTTTTGTATCTTTTATTACGATACGACATTAAAGAAATTAGTTAATTTATAAATCTATAAATTTTCAAAAGTTTGCCATATTTGTCGATCGATCGAAAAAGATATGCGTTCATCGTTGGTAGATCTAGTGTTAAGTGCTTAATACAGAATCCAGACCTCATCCATATAATTATCAGAACCATATCCCAAAAGGAAAACGTGAATAAGTGTAGCTAGTTTTTAATACGAACGGATCGCGAGAAACGATAGAACGGGTGGTACGAGATGA